TGTTAGTGGACATTGCACAGGGATTTGCAGAAAATCAACATTTAATGGTAAATATAGACATAACAAGGACCAAACCACTTGTTTCTCTCAAAGTACAGATTTTCTCTGTGAATAAAGTTTTTTTTTTTTTTTTTTTTCATTTTAAATCTAAAATTGATTATAGAAACATTAGAAAGTTTATGACCAAATGATAAATTAACAAGCTTCTGTTCCGTTGACTATGCTAATATTTTTTTTCAATATGAATTGCGTTTTTGTCTTCTCTTATCACGGCAAAATGTTTTTATCAAATGACTTACTTTAAATTTATTATAATTTTTTTATTTCATTTTTTCACACTTGAATCATTAATATGATTATTTATGATGATTGTAATAACAGGATTGGTCTAAATATCCTGGTGTCCAGGATAAGTTAAGGGTTATGCAAAACATATATGACATGTATTTGTTTGTCTTTTCTCCATTTTGCAGGTTCAGTTATTATTTTCTTACTACCAGAACCTGCCACAGCGCCCTTGATGACTAGGGACTTTTTCTTGTGCCACACCGATTTTAAAACGTCTTCGGGTGTTTGAGCACTAGATAAGTCAACGATAAGAAACACGAAATGTCAGTATTTGATCTTTAAATTATGTTAAAAACAATAGGTTCTGCACATGATTCGACACAAATTTTAAAAATATACTTTGCGATTTTAAAAGTCAGGGCTTTTTCACAAATATGAATGAAGACTTTATGCTATTATGATAAAAGCAGGCTACTTTTCTACCAGCTTACTCCGATGCATACTGTTTTAATAATGCATTTTAATTATTTATTTAAATTAAGTTTTATTTTCTGGTTTTAAACATTGTATATATAATTTACTGTTTATTAAAGTACATTTTTTTTAATTTTTTTCCATGACAAACTTTGGGTTATTGTTTATAGACTTAGTAAATCAATACAAGTTTGCTTATTGGAATGCTTTGTGTTGGGTTTTGTAACTTTTTGATATTTGCAGACCCATTTAATTTACCTTGGCAAATCTATGTATTTTGTGTATATGGATTGTATATAAATGTAAGTGTAATAAATAATTTTATCTGTAAAATACATTTGTTTTGTATGCAGTAATGTGATGTTAAGTGCCTCTAATAAATGCTACACGTAAGGACTGCTCATAAATAATTATGTCCCTGCACCCACAGCCATAAAAACATCGAAGATGTGTATCAAAAATGAAACGATTTGCATTTTTTATTATGACTGCTGTCTCCATCCTATCTCAATAGAAAATCTTGATAACAATACATGGACAGCTTCAGGGTGTTCTATAACATTTTAACCAAAACACGTGTCATGATGACATCACATGACCATATATGCACATTGTGACTATATATGGGCTTACAACAGTGTTTTGTCAAACAATTGGATAGTGTGGACAGAGCTTTAAGCCCTTTGGGTGAAGTCCACTAGGACACCCCAGACCCGCAGAGAAATATCCCGACTGACCCTT